TTGTAGTGCTTTACGCTTTTTGCTCCCTTAAAGGTTACAAACTCGGGGTCCAAAAGTGTTTGAATTTACATGTTAAACATATGTACATTAGCGGTAGTATGCGGTATTTGTCAGTTTCTCTTGTCGCCATCTACCCGCTCTAAACTTTGATTTTCAATGCATTCGATATACTGCTCTGTATGAAACAAATCATCTTCTAAAACTGCGTCTGTGTTCAAAGTATCCGTAAGCTTTTTGAAGATAATTATAGTGTCTGTCTTGTATTTCCATATTCTCTTACCCACTGCTTCTACTATGTATCTAGTGGATGTTGCATTTGCACTTTTAGGTTCTTTCCAAAGGTGAATTAAAGGCTTGCTTTTTGCATCCTTGACGGCGGTTTTAATAGCACTGTCTTTGTCCAACTTCAGCTTATAAAACGTTATATCTGTTGAGCAAATCGTGTACCCGTTTTTGGTCTGCTTGTGTTTTCTTTCTTTGCCTTCTGCATGCGTTCCCCTAATGGTTCCTTGTCGTGGATTTTGTCGTAGGCCTTGTTTGCCTCTGTCTCTTCTTTGTCAGTTTTTGCGGTTATACACTGTATGGTTAAATTATCTGCGGTGGTGAATTGTGAATTTTTACGCTGTCATAGAAACTGATTAGATTTTGTATTTTAGTTCTAACCGGTTGTGTTAAGCGATTTTTGTAGTGGTTGTGGGTTGTTTGTGGTGCTCTCGTGCTACGCTTGATATTTTTGCTGATATATAATATAATAACATTATACATTAAATGTCTTTTCAAATACAATTTGACAATATTTTTGCTATTTCTTGAAAACATATCTCAAGATGAATAATACAATTTTTGTAAATCAATATCAATAGCTTCGAAAGTCCCAAGGATATGACAATGAACGAGATGAAGCAACAACTGGCATTGTATCAACAGCTTTACTATAATAGAGGGAAAGAAGGCGAACAGCTTATGCAAAAGAACCGCGAAGCAAATTTAAGGCACAACCAAAAGAAGAAACTTGAGGAATACATAGTAGGTAACGATTTGAGCGAAGAAGGTTTGACCCCTACGCAAAGTACAGAAATCACTACTGATAAAAAACCTAGTAGAAAGAAGCGTTGAACGCCCAAATGTGATATGAATGAATACAAAGTGAGTATGCCTATTTAACATGATGATTAAGTACCCATATTAAATCATTAGTCCCTGTTACCTACTTGTATGAGTGAGAAACAGAAAATCATTAATCACGTGTATTTTGATAAGGGCGGTTTCAGGAGTAAATCCAGAACACTAGCGGAAGCACCGGAGAAGGACAAAACTATAACAGTGGGTGATATCAACCAGTTTTTTAGAGCGAATGTTGAACAAAAAGAAAGCTGACAGGACAAAACAGTTTTGTCTCTCCTCATCCTGCTTTTGAATATCAGATGGATTCGTTTCTCCATAAACGATTTGAAAGAACATAAGTTTAAGGTAGGGGTGTTGATGATTGATGTATTTGAGACGTTTATGCGTGCAGTGACGCTAAAAAGCAAACAGGAAGGAGACGTAGCATGTGGAATGATTGAGTGTTGAAGCAAAATTGGTAAGAAGCCGTCAATACTTTATGCAGATGATGAAGGAGTATTTAAACAAGGAGGCGATACACAAGTAGTTGAAGGATGAGAACATAGAACATGACAGAACAAGGGCGGACCCAAATTTTAGTGAAAGAGCCATCCGCTCTAAAGACATGCTATACAAGCGTGCCGAAGCCGATGAAAAGAAAGAAAAACATAACATCCAATGTCCATATTACATGTTAGAAATACTATTAACGTATGACATGAAGCGTTCGGTCACGGGATGTACACCCAAGGGTGCCCGAAAACCAAGCAATCATTTCCAAGTAAAACTGGATTTAACCATGTTCTGAAAGAAGAACTGTGTATTCTGATTTAGATGTAGGCGGCGAAGTCAAAATATTTAGGAAGCGAAAACCAAATGACAAAGGAAGAGTAGGAAATTACAGCCAACATATTTATATAGTAGAAGATATTGAAAACAAATTAGGTCAACAATATTATACATTTGAAGGTAATGATAGGCAGTATTTGCAGTTTCAACCGTTAAACACGTCACAATATAATGTTATGCCTGTAGCCATGCTAAACCCTTGAGTTTAGCAACGTGGTTTTTATATGTTCGTGTTTAGTTGGTTTGTTCGTTTTCGATGTTTTGTTGTTGTTTCGCTTGTTTTTCGTATAGCATTTGCCTATATTAGCCAGGGCACTTGTGGACGTAGAGGTCGGTCGGCAGGTTCGCGATAGCATTGTAGAGCACGAGGTCTCGTCGTCGGTGTAGTCCTTCAGGCGTGGGAAGTGGGAGGCAGTGAGGAAGGGGTAGGAAAAGCAGAGCGGAGCATACTTCGAGTGCATCGGTTTTTCAATCATGCAGAGATCTGCTGGGTGTCTGCGCAAGCGACAGCAGAAGTTGTAAAGTCTGCTTCCGATGTGGAAGCCTCACATTGGGCAAGTGAGTTTCTCGCATAGGGCATGTGAGTTTATCGCATAGAGCATATGAGTTTCTCACACGGCTCAATCAGACATTCTGAATGTCTGCGCACTCTGCTCACGGTCACGTTTCGCAGCCAGCACGTTGCTCACCTTCTCCTTCACCATGTCACGAAATTTCTCGTGCACTACGAGGAGCTGATGTTGTGATATGTCATATGTTCGGGGATGAAAAAGATTGTTTTCCCATGGGTTGCCCTCTTGGGTGTGTTCAGGAACTCCTTCAACTCGGCGATACTCGTGTTCATGGACATCAGCGCCTCATCAAAATTGATGGTCGTAACCGTGTGAATCATCTCGCAAATCCCATGCGCCTTTTGGAAAAAGGCCCATGTCACCCTCTGGTGGCGTTGAACTGGTCAGCATCTTCAGGTAGTGCTTCATCACCTTGGGCGCCCCTTCCTTCAGACTCAACACGAGCACCACCTCCAAATCGCGACTGTCACCATCCGTGTATTCCTTGAGGGACGCTGTCCTGGTCTCCATGCTTTGGCCTCCACATGTCAGGTAGAAGCAGTGCGAGTTGATGACGAACTTACAAGTCTTTAGGTTGATTTTGTCACTGACTAGGTCTTTGAAACTCTGCACCGTGGTGTAGTCGGGGACAGCCGTTCACCTTCATGTTGAGCAGGGTCGGCCTCGTCATCGTCCCACGGCTTCAAGAAGTCGGCGCTGAAGAGGTGGTCCCCGTTCTCGTCCAACTCACAGAAGTTGCGGAGGTGACCCTCCGGCTCGCCCTCGTCAATCATATGATGCACCTGCAAGCCCTCCTGGATGTTCGTCTCACATGCAAGGTTGGTGTCAGGAAGCTCGTTGCCGATGCCCTCTGAGGTGGAGCTTCGCGGTGTCAAGGCCCTTGAGGACGTCAATCTTCTGCTTCAAGTTCAAGATGGTGTCACTGTCGTCTATCGAACGACTCGGTCATCACCGAAGACTGTCACCCAAGTAGCAGGCTCGCTGTGGCTCTCCTCGCTGTCATCGGCATCCAAGGGCTTGTTGTAGATGGTGGGATGTGGGAAACTTCCGAGCAAGGCATCCACCAATGCCCGCTTTGTTTTGCACCACCATCGCCTCCGAAGTGATTGACCAAGTTGCAGACCTCGGGGAGAGTGAGCGTGTCGGCCATGGAACGGGTGAGCTCAACAGGCACCATGTTGCAAAGGTTTGACCACAGCATGGTGAATCAGCACAGGGTATTAAGTGTCCCCGTTCTGCCCCCCCTGGATTATGAGGAGTTTTTCTTTGCCCGTGCGGACGTTGGCAACCATCAGCTCGGGGATTTCCATGCCACAATGCCACTGCCTCGGATTTGACATCAAGTGTTGTGGATGTGCCGGCAAATGCGGCGTTTGTCAGCACGCCCCCCCCAAAACTCATCCTGATGCACAACTGGGGCGTCATGGCCTGCAGCTGGTCAATGCTTGCCTCATAACAGTCGGGACATCATCAGGCGCAGTGTTCTCGAGCACCTTAAAACGCAGCACCTCATTCGTGCTAAAGATGCACTTCAGGGTGCCTCCGGGGCGACCAATGAACCACCGCATGGCTCAGGTCTGGAGGAAGGGCTTATCACTATCGCAAGTGCTTCGCAAAATGCCGGCTCAGACAACCACCAAATGCTCAATGTGCTCTGCAAATTTCACTGTCAGGCTCAATCACTGGCGCACTCTAAGACTAAACCCTAAAACCCTTCTTTGCCCTTTCCGCGAAGAGACCGTGGTTGGGGTGGTTGTAGTGCATCGGACAGGGGGTGCTTTTGTTTTATGACCTTATCTCTGAACCTCATTCCTACTATGTATAGATAAGATATTAGAACAGACCAATTCCATTTTCTACTGTTAGGGGTTTCGGGTTTCCACTATCGGGTGTTCCATCGGGTGGGGCATGCTATGGGGTTGAGTATGCTATTTTCTATGGGCTTTTGCGTGGTTCCATAGTGTGGACTTTCATCCTAGGAGTCATGTATTGGGTCTTTCTGTAGAGTTGAGGTTGAGGTACAGGTTGTTATGGTTTGGGTGCTAGGGGGTGGGGCACAGTCACGGCTAAATGATAGTGGGAGGCGAGGGCTGGAGACGACAGCGCTTGAGGAGGCATACCAAAATTATAGGTTTGCGGCTTGGGCCTCATTTCACCGGTCCACGTCAAAGCTCCATGAACATTCAAAATCGGTGTTTCTTGAGGTCTTAACTTTGCTGATATGTATTCTCAAATGGCCCCTCATGCACCCAGGAATTTATCCGCATACATCCTGGGAATAACCCCCCTCTCATGTGTGTCCAACCCCTATCATGCAGAACACGGGACAAATATTGGGACCCTGCAGCCCTAGACCCTAGACAGCAAAGCCGAGAAGCATTACTCAAAACTTGAATTTATGAGATCCAGGTATGCGCTCAAATCCCTGAGCCATCTCAAACCCGTTGTCCAGACGATAGTGCCCAGACTCCGCAGGTTCGGATGGCAGGAAGCACCGAGCTTCAGCGTACGTGGGAGCAGGTCTTGAAGGCGGGCGACCATCACAATCTAACGCCAGACATCACATCATATACAACCCCTCATTTCTGTTTCATCTTCAATGGGCGTGAGAAGGGGAAGTACTTTGCCCTCCTGGGAAAGAAGAGTTAGGGCTTTCCCGAAACGTTGAACATTCAATAGCATTCTGCAAGATGCTTACGTAATTAGCGTTAAAGCATTAAGGCTTTGTCAAGGACTTGAGTTGACCATCCTGCAGTTTGCGCAGTAATCTATGCAGACAACTCCCTTGTGGTAAATACTGTGACTATGGATCAGATGATAGGGTGTTGTCCTCTTTTCAGAAGGAGACATCAAAAGCTCAAAATATAGCAAAGGTGATGTAGGAGATGTTGAGATGGTAGATCATATAAAGAAGTACACAGGCAGGTACAACCAATCTCAGTTTTACACAGGTTCTTAAACGTAATGTTGGAGAACCTCTAGAGAGTGTCAACCTCAAACCATGCTTGCACGGTGCTATGAGCGATGTCGACAATACACCTTGGTAGTCATTTTTGAGTATTTCCAATACGATGGCGAAACAAAGGTTCGTCCCTCAACACCATATTGCGCAAACAGCACTTAAAGAAATGATCGGTTCGTGTTGTAGATGGGAAATGAGCAAACATGACGAATACCGCAGAACGCAGATCGGTTGAAAACCAAGAATAAACAGACTTCAACATTGATGAAAGATGAAGTTACGAATGTATCAACTGACATACTACGAGTCGACAACACTTTGTACATAAATGATTTCTGTAAGGGATGGACGAATTCATGTCGCTATTGCGCCAATGGCATTTTACTAGTTTCGTTGTGGGTCGCGTTGGCAGACGCTTCGCAATGCTCCCGGAACTAGGAGATGATTAGAATTTTAGATTGTAATTGGGACTTGTGTGCGGATACTGCAAGATGCTTTGTGTTTTGGATGCTTGGAAGGGTTGTTTTATCTGGTGGTTTGGGAATTGACTAAAAGCATCGCGGGGTTCAGAATGCGAGGTCTGAAGTAAGGGTGGTCCTTCGGGTTTCAACTTGCTGGCTATGGCATAGAGTACCAGCACGCAAACGACACTACTGTGCTTCGGGTTTCGCTTCGTGACCTCAGTGATCTGAGATAGATTGTTGACTTGGAATGTTGCTTTCGGTTTTGGTGTATTTGCGATTTGGGCGTGGGATTTGGGAAGTGCTTGGTGTTTCGTTGTTCCGGAAAGGCTGTTTCAGTGGGCTGGCTGAGAGTTGAGTCAAAAGCATGGGGGGAGGAGGGGGGTATAGGATGTAACCTGGGGTTAGCCTTTGCCTGCCCTGTTGAGGGATAGCTTGCATCGGTAGAGTTGGGAAGGCGGCCGCCGACAAATTAGTCACAGGAGTGCTAAATTAAGCTCTGGGGCCGCAACCATCAGAAGCGTAAAATGAGCATACGTTTCGATCAGTGCGCTTTGCGATGGCTTGGAAATTCATCAAAGCAGGTTTGACCTGAGAAAACTTGAGGCTTACCTTGGCTACTGCCCTGATCCAGTAATAGACTGTAACGGCGTTGCTAAAGTTTAAAGGGTATACGTTTTTGTCTTGTATATCCAGAATCTAATTGTTACTGTTTTGGGAGCAGCTCCCAAGGCTTACCCGGGTCAACTTTGGCATGAGGGCCGGGGAGTGGATGCCCAATTTGGCTGTCTTAGCTTAAGGCCTAGGCCCTGTAAAGGGTGTAGGGGTTGGAGTTTCGGGTAGGTTTGGGAGCCCTATATAATGCCCAATCATGGGACAATAGAAAACGAAATGGAGGCTGGGGATTATCTAGGATCAGAAGACATTCTGGAAGGCAAGCCAAGGTTTCAGGGCTAAAGCAGCTGTTTCACGAAGAGCTGTGCTCAAGCGTGAGAGCCTCAGCCGAATGTCAAGCAAGACACGAGTAGGTTGAAAATATGTTGGAAGCTTTATTATCTTTAATCGCGTTGTCATCTTTGTAGAGCGGCCCAAGACATACTGTTTATAGGGTCCCAAACCTACCCTGAGATTTAGGCTGGAGAAACTTTGGTCTTCCGGGATGGTCGAATGACATTTCCGCTTTGTCACAGACCGGTAAAGGTCTGGAAAGAGTATTCTTTCTATTGGAAGCTTGCTATTTCAAGCATATAACTTGCATACACCGATCACTTAGGAATTGACCAAGAGTGAGGAGTACAGCTAAGAATCCCTACGCTGAAAGTCAGCAGTTACATGTGGTGTGCAGCAGGGCCTCAGCAGTAACTTGCACCATGTTTGCAAGTTCGCGCGGAGCGAACTACGCGGAATTCGCGACTGCCCTGTGTTCTAAGCCGCAACGCAAATGCCTGCAGCAGGAAACCAACAACCTCAAGGACTTGTTCACAGATGTGGAGGTCAAACCGACACTTGGGTCAACATTTGATTGGATGGGGTCAGGCATTTCATATAAGCATGCGCTGGACGAGCCCAAAACTACGAGCAGCAGTGGCTCTGAATAGTACAGGTGCAGGTACACCACCTGACATCTCAAAATAGGAGCTGGAAGTAGCGCATGAGCACAGAAGGGGGTGGGGATGCTTTCATCCATGGTGTATAATCTCAAGCAGCCAGGGCGAGCGCAAAGACCAACACCTCTCAATCACTGAACTGCATCGCTTAAGTATGCAGTTCATAAGACTTGAATGCCACTTAAATTCAACTTAAATTCAGCTTTTGCAACGTTTAGACCAGCTCAGAAATCAGAGCACCAGAAGTAGCAAGCTCAAGACGCCAAATCCTCCAACTCCAACTGAAAAACCCAGTTTCCATTTCATTCTAGGCGTTCTTTTCTTTATGATTTTCACTATCAGGTGCAACAGCCTTCTACATGTTTACCACTTTCTTTTTCAACTGTTTCTGCATTATGCCAGAATGTTAGGGTTTGAGGTTACAAGACCTTGACCAAAAGACCATTTCAGCTTCTCAGAGCCTGAGTCCCAGGTCTATTCTCCACGGGGATCTTTGGAGTGGTAATTACGAGAAGACACCTGATGGGGTGGCCATTTTTGAGCCTTGGCTACCAGTGCTGAAGATCGGCGTGAGAAAGGTCTCACGTAGTCACATTCAGGTCAAGATTTCTGGCTCCACCATAAAGCCTCGTTTGTGCGGTAATTCCTGGGTTTTGGTAGTCTCGTGGTGGCTCGACGCGCTGGGGTGCCTCTTGGACCTGGACCTTGGCCGACAATCCCTAAAGCCGGCATAGCCCCGTCCAGAGGCATAGGCATCAAACAATAATTTGATAAGGCATCAGGAAGATGCATAAACAATAATTTGCCAAGCATCAAAAATTATTTGAGCCGTAGTCTCTTTCCAACTATTGTTCTTTTCGGTGTTGCTACCATTATACGTAATATCCGTATTCGTACTGTGAGTACAACTATTCACCATTCACCTCAGTCTTGTTAAAGTATAGTACAGTTACATACAGTTATCCTCAATTTTTCTTGATGCTTATCTACTTATTTTGTGATACCGTGCGAAAGTTTTTCATTGTTTTTCTTGACTCTTTGTGTCAATTTTAAATTGATGTTTATCAACTTTTTCTTGATGCGTCGCCCCGTCCAGATGGGTTGCAGTTTCCCATCGGAGCTGCAACGAGGAAGATTTGTGAACAGAATTCGAGTATCTTGCTATCTAGACGTGGCTCGCAATCAGGGACATGTCACAGCGTCGGTTGCGTGTAGCCTCTTCTCCAAGTGGCCACAGAATGATTCAGACAGTTTAGATTTTCAAACTCTGTCAACAGCTATTCATTCTTGAAAGCTGCAAGGACCCAGCGACTTACTACGGACACCATGAAGCAGAATTCGGCATGTCCTGGTGCCTGGGAGAAATTCGGACACGCTTTCCACTAGTTAGTTCAAGAGCCTCTTGATAGCCTAGCATGAGACAAGAAACACATCAAGACATTAGTTGACGTAACGGTATAGTCAAACAACTGAACAAGGTTTTCAAGACCAGTTCAGGTGCGCCGGCTTCAGCAGCCTCTCTACTGCAAGCAGCATGCGCTGGGGATCCTGAGCGCGCAGAGCCGAAGATAAGAACTCGGGCAGAGGAAGCTTTAAACGGTTTGATCTTACCAGGCATCTCCAGATTTTCAGAGCATTGACCCCAAAGAAGGCTTGAAGGAAGCCTGAGATGGGTACCGCATCAAATCAGTGTAAGGTTTAGGGATATTAATCCAGTAATGAAGATTCAGCTGGAATTCAATTGAACGTGGCTCGAGCGTGCTCTGAGCTTGGCCGGCGCATGACCCCAGAAACTTCAGCCGTGCCGGAAGGCAGCGCACCTGAAGAGGAACGGATCTGTCTACAAAGGCAGAGAGCACATGAAAGGCCTAAGTGCAGAAGGTGATCGACATAGTGTCGCCGACCCAAGTTCGCCTGCTGGAGCTTTTTGGAATGCCGCTAACCTTGGTTGTACATGCAATGAATCCGCAGAAGCAGCCGACGTAGCTGAATGAAGCTGTAAGGCTATCTATTCCCTGATGTCCGATGTGCGACAGGTCCTCCTAGAACCAGAAAACGTAGGCTGGAGAAAAGCATGGAGTCGGCGTAGACGCGCCGTCCTCTGTCTTCTGCAAGAATTGCTCTCTTCACCCCCCCGGAATGTGCAAACTCTACCACTTACCGCCAGACGCCAGAAGAACGTTATCACGCGCAGGAGGAGGTTCGGAATTGGGACCCAGCATCTGACAGCAGATCAGTTCAGGCAGCGATGCGAGAATTGGGTCCGTTCAGAGCCTCTAGCAGAGAAGGAACCCCAGCCCGAATTTCGACTACTTCAAGCTGCTGTGAGCTTTAGTGGCTAGACTCAGCTGGAAGATGGAAAATGAAGTTGAAGCTGGGGGTTTTAGTGATTTGCTTGCGCGATGTCGGGCAAGGCGACGAGCAGGATCTTTCAAAGCAGTTCCTCTGCCGGTGAACCGAGACCTTATTACGTGCCTTGCGACTGCAGTGCTGAACCCTTACCCCATCTTCCAATCCCGCAGTTGAAGCGAATAAATCCTGCCTGAATCTTTCAAGCCCCGCGCAAGCAAAGGCGATTTCTGGCAAGGCTACCGAGAAGTCATTCCCGAGGAGTGGGATCCTGAAATGCAGTGCGCCAAAGCTCTTAGAGAACACAGTGCGCGGACGCCAGAAGTCCAGAAATTTGATGCAACAACGCACATTCTCTAGGCTGTTATTAAGGCATTAAGGCTTCACTTTACTGATACTACAGGGCACGGGCATGAATTGCACCGGCTTCTGCGTGCATGCAGTAAGCTTTACTCATCTTTAGTGGGAATCCATCAATTCCTATTGTCCTTGATTAGGTTTGATTGTGTTAGTGGCAGTTCTGTTTGACATGCTTCGCTCTCAATCCGCCACTGCGAGGGCACACTGAAAAAGGAACCAAATTTTGACGATTGCTGGTGGCAGCGGGGCCTGTAGAGACGGACCGGTAGAGAAGCTGCACGCGGCCCGATGCCGGTCGGCTGACGCAATAATTTGTAGAAGAACTTGCAAGGACCCAAAAAAGCTTCATCGCCCAGGTGTCCGAAGATGGCAGTATATCTTGCTTCATTCCGGCTTACCGCCTGTTTAGTGGCCCTTTCGTGCGAAGGATGGCATGCGCTTTGCCTGGAACTAGGCCATCATATTTGCTGGCCTCATAACGACGTTGCTGGTGCTGGGGCATTTCGGCCCGAACTCTAGAAGTGGAGCATGCAACATACCCAGTGGAACTGCTGGCGACGCCGTTAGGCATCGGCGCCAGCTCTCAATCCACCTTGTCCAGCCAATCGTTGTTTCAATCATGTCCGCACTCATCACTTGCGCGCGCATTGCCTCCGTCTGAACTGATAATTCTCGGTGGCCAGGACATGGGCACGTGATGGGCACATGAACACCTACAGGGGGGCTAAGCCGTGCGCCGCAATCGCTGCGTGCCAAACGAATGGTGCTGGTGGCTTCCCTGGCTGTACACAACACTGAGTCCTGCACGGTCAAAAAACGAGGTCCTGGAGTGCTATTGCAGTTGGCGGATTCAGAACCTTCAAAAGCCTCATTGCAGATTTTCGATGAACATGACAATGCGATACAAACCTTGTAATTCCTGGACATGCTAGGGAGCCGTCATAAGCCGTCAACCTGCGGTTTGTCTTTTCAATTCTACTGGGACTCTTCTGATGTCCTGAAGTTACAGACGTGGCTTGATGGGAGAGAGTGCTTGCATATGACTATAGGCCCATACCTAGCAGACCTAATCCTCAGCCCGCACGCGCGCAATCAATTCGGGAATCTTTGCATGCTACGGCAGAGGAGGTCACCTAGGTATTCTAGCTGGGGCACAATATTGGATAGCTAGGTTTGGGCGCCAGGTTCGTTCTTGATAGAACGCGCAATTTGCAATTTTTTTCCCTGCCCGCGCGTGTTGGCAAGACGTCCGTAGTCCTTGAGCATTCTCCACATAGCGAAGCCTTGAGGCAGACTGCCAGGGCCTCAAGAGATTTTTTAAGAGCCTGCCATCCCTATCCGGACAGCCCATCAGCATGCACTGCCTAGCTGCTTCGCAGGATCCTCTCTTCGCCAAGCGCTGCGCGCTGAGTGTCCAAAAAACCTTGCACATTCCAGTTCCAAGCCCACAAAGTTCGCACGTGTTGAGCTAGCATCAGAGCCACTGCCGACTTCCCCTAACACGATTCCATTCAGCTAAGGGTTTGTGGATTACGGCGATTCCAGATGTATCAGGTGAGCTGAGTCTTTCACACAAATGCAGTCATGGAACGAACTTTGTGCAAGGAGCGTATCAAAAAGAACGTAGCGTGACCCCTTCCACAGGAACAGGTCCCGCACGTCGGGACAAAGGGTGTTGCTAAGCATATAGCCTTTTAAAGAACTTGTCAGGGAGTTTCCGTTGACTGCGGCTACACAACACCAAAGTCCCAGCCCCTGTTAACCTCAGAGGTGTTCCTAGTTGAGCCAAAGGTCGAAAGCTTTACGAAGCGTATCACATCATCAACCACTACAATCTGTGCCCCGGCTTTGGCACTAAGTCCATGCAACTTCGTGCTCGTTCTGCCGGTGTTGCTTTCCTTCAAAATTGACCGCTTGCTGCCTTAGCATTCCAAGACGCATGACTTTTTTCTGCTTTCAGACATGGGTCGATTCATGCTCCGAAAGAGTCTTCAAGAGAAAGTCTCAGAGCCTTTGCTTTCTCTTTGCAAGCTTGGGAGAGATGACCCTGCAAAGCTTTCAACTCTAAGGTTCGGAGGCGGCTACCTCTATCAGGGAGTGGGCCTGTTGCAGGGCTTGCTGCGCTAGCTCCCTTGCGGAAGGAGCTGAGGTTTGAACAGGAACCTACAGCACATGAATGTACATACCTGCGGTACCTGCGTTGGCCAGATGCCGAATCTTTGCGATCGTTTTCCATGGATGGCGAGAAAAAGCGCAGCGCTCTGAGCTCCCTTCATCCTGAGTCCGGACGGAATTCAGGGCCAAGAATGTGGCGTTGGAATTTGCGAAGGAGCTGCTTCAGAAGAAGCATCATGGATCGCTCAGGTTTCAATTGAAGTGTAAGGCCACAGGAGTCATGCGGCTTCTCAGTATCTTGTACGTGCCCCATGGTATGTTTCAGGCCTTGCTTTACAGCCCTAGGTTGGAGAACAGAAGTCGCATATCAAGGTCACTTTCCAAACCTTCCCTTCTACGAAGGACCTCTTCGAGGGGGCCGGCTCCTTCCTGCAGAGCACAGAGCAGGCTGTGACAGGGCTAGGTTTTTCAATGTTGTTTAGTTTTTGCTGCCCCTAATCCTTACATAATCCCTACAAGGCCACAAAAAATTGAATTCTTACAGGGCCCCGAACCTACCCAAGTTGGGATACGCCCCTGTATAATCCCAGTTACCATTTGATTTTCCACGTTCTTTTCCATTTGGCTCCGCATTATTGGGACTAATGTCCCTAAACCCTAAATAGTAGTTTCCATTTTGTTTTCCATTATCCCTATGTAGCCCAAACCTACCCTAGGTGAAGGGTGGGGCCTGCAAGTTGACGGCCTGAAAGGGTTTGAGCCGGCTACGCAGTCCATGGAGCTTCGCTTCAGCTTTGGGTTGACGAGATGCGGGGCTCCATAAATCAATGATGGAGAGTCAAATGGAAAGAAACTGGACAACTAAAATGAAATGGATGTGGGATTTGGGGGTTTACAGGGAGTTGGGGGTTCCTTAAAGTTGGTGGGGGGCAGTCCCAATATAGGGATTGTGGTATATTGGGGTCCAGATTGGGATCCCCGTGTCATGGAATCTACCAGATAGCTTTCCGGGGCTAGATTTTGAGTTTGAGCATGAAGGTCTGCAGCCAGAAGAGTAGGGCCATCAACCTTCCTGTAACTCCTGTGCACTAATATGGCATCGCTTGCGGCGGTCTAGAGACATACATTGTGGGAATCTAGCTTGCGGTGGGTCACGAGCAAAATTGGTCGACAGCGCGCTGGTCTAGGCATAATTTTGCTTCTTATTCCGGAGCCTCGGCCTTAAGCCCAGCAGACTTGCAATTCAGTGGACAAGAATGCTGCCTGCAGGTTCACATATCTTCGAAGGCCACTTCGCTGGAGATCCGCATACAGGACCGGTTGCCATGGCTGCAAGCTTCTACTTTCTAGGCCGCCAGTGATATAGGAATCCCCTTGAATTTAGTATAACACAGGTCCCTATAGTGGGGGTCCCATTGCAGTACGGGTCCCTAGATAAACTTCTCATAACCTCTCCATTTTGGGAACAGGAGTTTTGTTCAAGTGCCATATCCTTTCGGCCTGAAGACGTCACTTCTTAGCAGTGCAACATACGCACGGCGATCCGACCTTTTTGGTTCGGATTGCCACAATCCTAACGGATCCCACAATGTACATCAAGTGCCCTCCAGGCGAAGAAACCTGGATTGCTCGCGGAATTTGCGTTCAACAAACTCAGAAGCTTTCAGGAAAAAATCTGAACTCCCTTCCA